TCCCAGCTCTACTGCAAACATCCTGTGTGACCTTGGGCATGTCACCCTACTGTCCCTGTCCTAGTTTCCCCATATGTAAAATAGAGATTTGTATTCTCCCCTGACTCAAGGCCTGATCCAATGAAGGGCAATAGGCATTGGTTCAGGCTGTCAACGATTAAATTCATTGTTTGTGTTTTAAGATCTTAAAATGGAAATTACTAGAGAAGTGCAAATTGTTGTTATTATTATTATTATTTATTATTACTAATTGTGAAATATAGAATGTGAAGAGCCTCAGTTTTACACAGACACTTTCTAACCTTACATTGAAAAAATAATTATGCATAAGTAGAATATAGAGAAGTTCCATCTTAGGGTTTTGTGATACCATTGGCGTCCTCAGTGGAATTATAACCTAGTATAACTTGCTTATCTGTTCTTCCTCTTCTATTGTTATAATTTCAAACCATTGAATTGGAAGAAAGATTATTTTTTTCCATGCCTGAATCATATTAACAATGTCTGATTTCCTTTTTTTTCCCCCCTCCCCCTGAAAACAAAAGTAGTGTAGATCAGGTTTGTGCATCTCATAAGCAGTAGCTGAAATAATTGTGATTGTCACAATAGAGCTTTCTGTTAATGATAGAGTAGAGTAAAAAGAAACTGTAAAAAGAATAAAACATAAAGAGACAAGACAGGAAGAATGATCGAAGACGAGGTATGTTTCCACAATTACTGGTGAAGTTTACTAAATGCCAGTCGTTTCAGTCAGGATAATTAGTCGTGGATACAGTGGCTGCTTCACTAATCTTAAATTGATTCATTGCAATAATGAGCATGTTTTCCCCTCCAATTAGTAGCTCATTTTCCTTTTTTCCCTCCAGTGTAATTTTTGGTTCATAAATATGGAGTTCTGTATATTTTATACATTGTAAGGGGACAAATTACTCTGTGTGCATACATGCATCCATCCATACACTCTCTCCCCATTTTGTCCTTGGGCAAGTATAAGCTGCAAGTGTAAGTGACAGAAGTGTAAGCTTGCCTAAGGACAAAAATGTAGCACTCAGTGGAGTTTGTAGCCTGCTAAATACAAAGAAAATGGAGCGGGAACGCTGAACATGACTTATCCCCTCGGTGGAGGTATTAGTGGTCATGCAACAGGGACAGGAGCATAGTCGAATCAAATGTGTGGAGCCTGATGCAGGGAATCTCATCTCCTGCATTGCAAACAAAAATTTCTCTCTAATCTCATCTGTCTAGACCCTCCTTGCGATAGGGTCTGAGTGTCTCCCAAAAGATTGCAACGTTCTTTTTCTCTGTCTCCCACTCTCCATACAGTATATAGTGCTTTGATGTGTGTGTTCATTTTTATTAATGAATCCATGAGAATAAGGGTCCTATTGTCAGAAAGCCCACTGCATGTTTTTAGGCCCCTTTCGCTCTTGGCAATACAGCTAGCCTGATTACAAATTAGCTTCAGTCCATTGCTGTGAACTACTCAAGGAGGATGGGGATGTAGAATGCATGGTTCAGAAGTTAATGCTGCAAAAAGCAGCATTCTTTTCCAGTGGGAAATAAACTATTTATAGTATGGATGATTCACGGGAGAATTCAATGGATGCTTTGCAGCTCTGCTCTGTGCCTAGCTGGCAATTCCCTGGAATTACTACAGAACTGCAATCTTACATTGTTATCAGAAGCCTTCCCCTGGGTTTGGGAGTGAAGAAGAGTCATCACTGTGTGCCCTTCTACACTTCCAGGGTCAAAACTGTGTGATTACCACATGTTTGCTCCTGTTGCCCCTTTCTGACCTGACTGGCTAGTCAAAGTTCAGGGCTCTGTGGATGTTCCAGGTGGGAGGAGAAATTGGTAAGAGCCAGGTATTTGTTTGATGCAATCTTGTTTATTTACAAGGAAAGTATAAAGTCCTGTGTCTCTGAATGCAGAAGGAATCAAGACAAAAGAAGCAGTTCCTTAGCTTACCAGCCCCCCAAGCCTCTTTAGCCAACACCAGTGCCAAAAGCTCTTTCTATGGCTTTTTCCAGGGTCACACTATGCTCACTATGCATCCGATGAAGTGAGCTGTAGCTCACGAAAGCTTATGCTCAGATAAATTTGTTAGTCTCTAAGGTGCCACAAGTCCTCCTTCTCTTTTTGCGGATACAGACTAACACGGCTGCTACTCTGAAACCTGTCACTATGCTCACAGGCTCTTGTTTGCCTTTTTCTTGTTTCCTTTCCTCTGCCTCTCTCTCTGTTCTGATCCGTGACCTCAGTAGCTGTGTGTTCTTTCACACTCCCAGGAACACCCACCCAAAACAAATCTCAACACACCCACTCCTGGGCAGGTTTACGCATGCCTTTTGTCTTAGGTGGGGCTTATGTTTGCAGTGATGGTAACTGAAGGGTGAGTTTACACCTATCAGCCTGGGAAGGGAGGGTTAGCCCAACCCATAACAAGGTTTCACACCCAGCTCCTGAGACTGGCCTCTAAACCACATGGGTCAGGGGAGCCTAAAACTGTATCTTCCTCAGTGTAATCCTCTTGTTGAGGGAAGATTATCACTAGTCCATATTTAAACATGCCTGTTACATGGCTAGTGCGTAAAAATCATGCTTCCTCAGGAAGGTGGGAGGTGATAGAAAAGAAGAAGCTTTACTTATTGAACAATAATAGTGACTCAGCTGTCAGCCTTTGATGTTGAATTATACTTGATAATAGTCTGTTCCCAGCCTACAAATGGATTACAGATGATCATCTGTTTAATTATGTTTCAGTGCAAAGACAACATTTTCTGAAAGTATATGCTAATGTATCAGTTTTGCTTCTATTATGTTTTCTTTTAATTATATGTATTATGATGATCTGAATGTCTGAGAGGACGGGAATATAAAGAGAGACAATGTGATTGACTACTAGCTTTCCATATTTAATCTTTTTGTTGATTAAAGGAGTGCTGACCACATTAGGGCGACAAAATTAATATCCTTAAAAGTTACTGAATCACAATATTTTCTCAACATTCTTTCTTGTTTCCACAAAAACTAACGGTGATTTTTTGCTGGCTGCCTTAATGTTTCATGTCAGAATGCTTCTGTGAAAACAGCAAATGTTGGCCTGGAGCAAATATATGAAAACATGAGGTTATAACTCCAAGATTGCATTTTTAACATTTGTTACCAAAAAAAACCTGCTTATAATAGTGGGGAAAGTGAAAATGTCTCCCCATTATCAAAATCACACTACAGATCAGTAGAATCTCTAGTTTTTCCACACAAATATTTTTGAATAGTGAAATATATCACAATCACATAACGAGAAATCACTTCACATCACTGAAAGAGAGCTGCCTTCAGTGCTGAAAAAATATATTCAGCAGTGCACAGAAACACTACAGAATAGTTCAGGGCAAAAAGTAAAGAATTGTATCAGATCCAATTGGTATGGTAAGGAAATTTAGGTGGGTAAAATGCAATTACCCATGCTGGAATTTGACCAGTTGACTAGGGTTAAAATCCCTACTGTTCTGAAAAGTGCAGTAGAATCTTTTTATGGACCACAAGCAGTCAGGAGATAAGAGTTAGGTTTTCTTCAAAACATAAATCAGCAATTAGATTAAATACTCCATACTACTGTTTTCATATGGTAAAAATAATTTATAAAGTGAATACCTAAATAAATCCCTTGTGCAGCATGCTCCTTCAAGAGCGCAGCATTTATTTACTGAGTCTGGGACAGATAATTCATTTGCATTTGTAGATATCCACAGTCTCACTACCATGGTTTTACTATGTTCCCTACACCAGTGAGGTTGGTCTGCCATCACCTTTCAATCTGTTATGGGTGCTGAGTTAAACTTAACTCAGAAAATAAAAATGTATTTACTTCTACTATTAAAAATGAAATACATCAAAATAAACAATATTCATGGGCTAATTTAAGCTGATATAAGCATGGAAATTCAACATAATTATTCACGGCGTGACCGGATCATGGCCTCTGGAGTTAAATTTCACTGGAAGGGACCTAGGGAGATGAGAACTGTGTAATCCTCCCTTGTGGCTGTATTACCTTTTCAGCAGATTTCCCATTGGATGTTGGAGGTGGAAAGGGGACAACACTCCCTCCCTCCAACATCTCATTTCTTAGCCACCCCCTCATGCTTCTCCATTCACTGAATCCTGGATGTATAAGAGTGCTCCAAATGATCCAAGGCAAGGTGGTGCCATGCAGTTGGTTCAGTCTTCTGCATGCAGATCTAAGAGGTATGACCTCATTCTTTTCTTAACCTGTCACATTGTGCCTATTGGTTCACAGGCCTACCTAATAGGTGGCTGACACTTAAAGTCTATGTGATAAAATTAACTTCTCTTCTGAGATTGCTGCAATACTGAGCCATCCCGGGGAGTCGTGAACAGAATGGCAGCCTTAAATCTAACTTGCATTATTTGTTTGTTTTTTGTTTGACCCTTGATGATGATAATACACTGTAAAAATGTGTGTAGCCCTCTATCAGAGAAACCTCTGGTCTTCAAGAGTGTAAGAGTCCACTTATTTCTCCCTTTTAAGACTCTGTAGATCACTTTGCAACCAAAGAGCCTTGGGTTCTCTGTGCACCTTTCTCTCCTTTCCTTCAAGAGCAGTGAAAGCTCTGTGATTTTTGTTGCTGAAAGCAGACACCCTGCAGTCAACTCCCTTCCTTCAAACACTGGGTCTCAGATCATGTGTCTGGGCAGTCCCAACCAAACATTCAAATCATGCAATTGGCTGCCTTGGTATGTCAGTCAGGCTGATTATCCAGCCTGCACAGGCTATTCATGTCTCATGCATATAGGTATGTAGACCTTTGGGCTTCTGGGGATCTTTCTCTTCTCTGGAGTCTCTAAGAAGGAGGCGGGCTACATGTATATTTAATTTGTATATATTTCTCTCTTCCACCATTTTTTATTCTTTATTGTTAAATGTACTACGTATCTTTATAATCCTTCTATGTTTTTTGCCTTTTCCCTTCCAGCATCCTCCTAGATGAAGAGGGTCACATTAAGATTACAGGTGTGTAAAGAACAGCATTTGATCACTGAAACTTAATCTCTATAAGCTTGCCAATGTACTGCATTGGTTTCCATGCATCAAGCTGTGACCTTGGGTCAGTAGCTGGAAGGATGCTGGGCGGGAGGGATAGCTCAGTGGTTTGAGCATTAGCCTGCTAAACCCAGGGTTGTGAATTCAATCCTTGAGGGGGCCATTTAGGGATCTGGGGCAAAAATTGGGGATTGGTCCTGTTTTGAGCAGGGGGTTGGACTAGATGACCTTCTGAGGTCCCTTCCAACCCTGATATCCTATGATTCTAAGGAAGTTGGTAGAGAAAACCTAGAGGCTGCAGGAAGTGGGATTGATGATTCAGTAGCTGACATTATTCCCTCTGGTCATTGCTGAGCGATTGGCCTGGTGTAGTGTAAGGGCCCTGTGCATGCAGGAAGTACCATTTTTCAGATAAAATTGGGCTCCTGACTGTGGCTTCCAGCTCCAGACTTCTAACCCAAGAGTCCTTGCAACCACACACCCTTCTGGCATGGCTTCTAGCTTCAGATTAGACTGCAACCAAAAGATGCCTAGAATGGACATCCCTGTATTGCCTTGGAGCTGAGGTGTGGGCATCACTGCATGCTTGTCCACTTGTGATGATTAGAAATTCCATGGTACTTTTTGTAAGAATTGGGTGTTAACTCCAATGTCCTGTGCAAATTCCAGCTGGTGTATAAGTATTCTGCTTATCCAAATTACCTCTGCCATCTCAGGGACGTATCTTCAGAAGTGTGTGGAAAAATGCATGTGTCCAACTTCAGGGTACAAAACCCTACATGCAAGCAGGGAATTTTGTTCGCATATAGCCGCATGCAAATGCAGCTTCCAACTTCTGAGTATGTTTTGTTTTATGTGCACATAAACTGCACATTACGTGAATGTGCACTTCTGTAAATATTCAATTTTCAGTTGGATTCGGTATGCTGTATCTCTGTGGTAAACTGTTGGGTTTCATCTGAATGAAAAATGCTGTTTAAATGTGAGATAATGTTTATAATCGTAAACCAAGATCTGACAAGAGTTCTATCTATTTACAAAATGTGCCTAGATTTTGGCCTGAGCAAGGAGGCCATTGACCATGACAAGAGAGCCTATTCATTCTGTGGGACAATAGAGTACATGGCCCCAGAAGTGGTCAACCGGCGAGGACACACTCAGAGTGCAGATTGGTGGTCCTTTGGTGTGCTAATGGTAAGGGTGAATTATGTTTCTTTTTTCATTCTTTTGGCAGCTGTTTGGATATTTCAGGCTAAGAAGGCTCACTTTCAGCAATTAATGGACTGGTAGTAAGGAGGACATAAATGGGTGATGATTGCTTTGATCGTTCACATGGCATCAGCAGTAGGAAAATAATTACTTCTGACATTATATGAGATGACATATGGCCACTAATTTCTCACTCCCTCATTCCAATTCTCTCATAAGCTGGCTGTTATAATTGATTGCCATGAGTCATGATAACCTTATTCCAAAGAGAGAGGCCGAATAAGTTTAGAAAAATACAATCACCCCAGGAATAAGCAGGATCACTGTTTTGTTATTTGAGTTCTTGGTTCTTGAATGGAAGCAGTTCCCCATGTGGCATCTGTCTGTAGGATGTCGCTGATCTCTTAGAGAAACCCGGGGAGGTTCTCCACCTCTGCAGCATTTAATATAAAGTGAAACCTCTTTGGGAAAGTCTGAGGAGAGATTCAGATTCACATGCTTTTGTGTTCAATGGCTAACAATATTTTCAGAGGCTGTTTCTTCATAAAGCCCTGAGATTAAGCTCCCAGTATGAGCAGATTTTGTTAAATTCACCTTCAGAGAACCAAAACTCCCCTAGCCAATACTGACTGACATTTAACGACACACATTATTTATTATTTTTTAATCATAGACAATCTGATCCGTTTAATATGAGACTCAAATTCCATAGTCCCTCCCTTGAAGAGTCGCAGCTTGCTTAGATTGTAAACTCCATGGGGCAGGGACCATCTTTTTGTTCTATGTTTATACAACACCCAGCACAATGGGGTCCTGATCCATGAGTAGGGTTCTTAGGTGATACAGTAGTATAAATAATAATAAGCAAGACAGGTACAGGTGTGAAATAGGCCAAATTCACCAAGAAACCCAGAGGTGGACATAACTAGGAGTTGTATTTTAGCTAGTATTATTTACTCTTTACAGTATTAATTTGGTTGCATCAGCCCCTATTTGAAGGAGGTGGGGAGTAGGAAATGAATATAACAGTGGTGGTTAAATTCTATTTTCTGCACCTTTAGGAATACTTCCTTAGAACCAGTGGTCATGTCAGCGATGTTTTTCATGACCATGGCTCTAGTGAGGACTGGAGGGTGGGCAAAGCAGGGGGACAGCTTCTTCTGTCCTGTCCACCTCCCCTGAGCATGTGCTATTGTCTTTGCCCTTGACTTCCTCCTGAAACCTTGTCAAACATCTGTGTTTTGTTTTTATATATAAAGAACTCATTTTTAGAGGGCATCTTGGCTGTTTCATTTCACCTCAGTAGTTCATGAGTAGCTGTGCTTCCCCTTCAGTTGTCTTCTTGACATCAGTAAAACTCACCATTGTGCAAGGAACCATATATCCTGGCCCAACTCTAGCACCACCTGACAGTGGATTTTCTGCATGGTTTTTGCTAGTGGTCACTGGGATTCTCTTCAGATCCTTAATTTTCTACCTCCTAAAAAGGCAAACAGAATTTTGAAACAGTTGTCATCTTCTTCACTCTTGCTCTCCTGTCACTTGTCTATGACCATGTTTGTATCTTTGCTCTGTGTGCTGAGTGTTTGCTGAAGGGCAAAGTATGTGGAACAGGGCATTTTAGGGCAAAGTATGTGGATAGATTTTTAAAATAATTGCTCCTCACAGAGAAGAAGCCATTATAAATAGATCCCAGCTACTTTTATAGTATCGGGTACTTTTTGACCTAGTCATGTCCTTTCAGAGAGCCCAGTCATTTATTAATTAAGGCATGTCTGTGCCACCTACCCTGGTGTATGATACCATTGTGTGGTATAAATTGGCACAGAGGAGGGGCACTGGTTCACCCCAACTTCATTGACATCCATTTCTTAAAATTCATTGCTCTGGTTTAATTGTGTGAGGATCACTTTTTCTCTCCATTACTGCTTAACTTTTAATAGTTATGGTCTTTATGCAAATTGGTTTTGGACCAATTTAAATAGGATCAACTATAAAAAGCTACCTTTTAAAGACATCTGCAGTTGACTCCAACTTATTTGAGCTACTGCAATTTTTGTAATTTAAGATCATGTTCTTGTTCCTTTCCAGAATCATTCATTTTGTCATACAAAAAAATCTCAGACCAATTGCATAGAAGCACCAAGAACATTCCTGGACCACTTTTTCCTTCTGCTTCTACTTAGGTTTCTTCCCACCAACAAAACAGTGGAATCTGTTTATAGTCAATTTGGATATAATGAAGTGGTGTCAAAAACCCCAAATTGGGTTGGTGCCTTTCTATGGACTTTTACGCTCTTTACACTGAAGTTTCACTTTCGTATAAGTAGGTCATTGTGGTGTTACAACAGAGCTGTGCCCACAGAAGGATGTTCTGAGGGATTGCCACCTCCTCCTCTGCTCTTCTTTGGGGTGAAGCAGATAGGAGCAGAAAGGAAGCTGACACTACCCCTTGTGATGAGGGATAAGGAAAAATCACTAGCTACCACTGCTTCACACTTGGTGTGAAGCTATGGTCCTCCAGAGATCACCCTTTGCCCACAGAGACCCGTGTCTCTACAGTGGGGGTGAAGCAGAGTGGATCTTTCCACAGAATGACCCTCTTCTCACAGAGTGAAACTCAGCTCATAGTGAAGTTGTTTTGTGGTGATGGACAATTTTTATTTTAACCTACCAGAGCAGCTCCACTATATGTGAATCAGTTACACAGAACTGTCTGTGTCACCACATCATTGTACTGCTATCTCTTGCACTTTGTTTCAATGTTTTTATTATTATTGCATCAATAGTTTACTAGCCACTTTACAAACGAATATGAAGACAACGTCACTTTTTATTAATTTGTGTCTCCTTTGCATCATCATTATAGTGCTCAGTATTCTTAATCTTAATCTTAATCTTTTTTCTCCATTTCATTCTCTCCTACTCCCCTCCTCAGTGACTTAATATATTGGAAAAGATAATGGAATACAGATAGAGATAGTAAAATCGTCTTAACTGTAAGCTGGTCCTTAAGCCTTTGAGTGCTGTCAGAGACACCTCAGAGAAAAAAAAGCTTTAATCACTTTAACCTTTTTTCCTTTTAATAATTAACTGATTGAAGCAGTAAAAAGGGATTTCTATATGCAAAAAGTATGGGAGGATATCTGCTGCTAGCATTTTCCTCTTTTTGTATCTCCTTATGCAGTATTTTCCTTGAACTGTGACTAACATACTCTGGTGGAGAAGCTGTTCTTAAGATAAACTAAAGATCAGAAAGAATTAAGTGATATCCAGATATTGGTTAGAATTTACCGCAAAGCAATTTGCAATATGTTGTCAAATTCACATGAAAAATAGACTAGTTGGAGGCATATATGTACCTTGATGGAAAATGTATGCAAGTGTATTATTCATATCCAAAATCTTGATCAATAGGGTAAGAAATATGTTCCCTGCAGTAAGTTCTAAATTATAGTGATAAAATGGTATTTACCCCAGCAATGAGACCAGTCACCAAATAGTGATACTCCCTTGTCTCCTTTTATACCATTTGCTTCAATTCATAATATAGAGCAACAGCATAAAGAGAAAAAGAATGATAAGCCATTTTAAGGGCTTGTTCTCTTGAGCCACAATGCAAGATCCAAGCACATAAAATGTAGATCAAAGGATCAAAATGGATTGGGTAAAAAGAGATCAAAGACTTGGCCCAAAAATAGGGATCTCTGAGATGGGTCAGTGGTTGCCAAGGGAATATTGTAATTTTCTATCTAAACAAGCTGTTCGAGCTCTAGTGTGTTGTTCCCACTTTATATAGTACTGTAAATGGATATGGGCTTGTCTCGAGCAAAGCAGATCTTACAATGTTGAGGGATTAATCTTCTGAGGTGCTGAGCATGCTCAGCAACCACTGACATCAGGAGGTGAGGGTACTCAGCACCTCCCAGGAACTGGCCCTAAATTATCAAAGCAAATAAGCCCTAGGACAACAGTGCAAGTAAGGGAGAGCAATGGGATCGGTGACGGTGAAAAATGGGAGGAAGGAATGCTGGAAGCGGTGGGATATAAAGGAGCAGAGAGAGAGTGGTCTGTTGAGGAGCACAACAGCCCATGACAAGTGTAGGTAGGGGCAGCAAGACTGAAGGTGCGAAGTTTTTTGTTAAAAACTAATGAAATTCTGTCAGTGGGCATTAGCAGTGCCACCCTGTTAACACGGAAACAAACGTTGTTTTTGGATCAATACCAATAGAAAGGCTTGTGCTCTGAGTTCAGGCTGGAGGCTAGTGTAATTCATGAGTTCTGATCTTGTTCTGGGTCCTTGGACATGTAAGAAGAAAGGTCTCTTCTTCAGATTTCACAGGTGTAAAATGGAGAACAGGGACAGATTCTCCAGTCTGCCTTACATGGCACAAACAGAACTTAGAGCATCCAGAGATTGTCTCATGTAAGAGGAGGCAGGGGGCCTGGTAGCGAGGGGGTGAGAAGATGAGACATGAGGGACCTTATGCCCATGGCAGATGTTAATTTACACCAGGACCAGTTGTCTGAGACTGGAGACCAGCTCCCCATCAGTCTCTTCTCTTAAGCACAGTGGAGAATCAAGCTAAATAATATTTAGTTTCCCACCTCATGGAAGTGTTGTACAGTTTCATCTAAGTTTGTCAAGTGCTTTGAAGCTGAAGTCCAATGTAAAATATTGTTGTTATTGTCACGCTGTCTGGAGTGGCTCATGACCGAGAATACCAACTTCAGTACAGACTGCTGGTATGGTATGTTCTATAATTAGATTTCACCAACCCAGTTCCAAATGTGAACTTCTGGATCACTGTAACAGTCTTACCATGTAGTCCCACAGTCCCCTTAGGCACTCCAGCCTATCTTGCCATGCAGGCAAGCTGGACTTAGTGATAACTGGTCACTTACACCAAAAATCACAAAATATTCAGGTTGCTCCCAGTCCCAAGAGACCAGTCACTTACCCCAGGTCAATTTGTACCCTAGAT